TGGGCCCGGCTGGCGGTCTGGCGGCTCCCTGCTCGCCGTCGCCGCCCTGTCGCCGCCTCGCCGCCGCCCGTCGCCTGGGCCCGGCTGGCGGCCTGGCGGCTCCGTGGTCGCCGTCGCCGCCCCGTCGCCGCCCGTCGCCGCCTGGATTGTGCAACGCAGATTCTCCTTTCTAAAAAGAGACTCTACCCCCCCGGCGTTATCGGCCCCCCGTTTCGGGTATGTAAATCGTATATGATTTTGACCACATGCCCATCCGAAATATGAATTTACATTATCCCAGGGGGGCCGGGATCGGTCCCCCTGAGGTTCCCTGGTAGAAAAACAATGCGCGGGGACATTTTTGTTCTAACATAAGACTTTTTTCGCGAATCCCTTGCACAAAATGGGACGACGTGCGCACGCGCGCGTCGTCGCGCGCGCATGCCGAAATCCTTCAAAAAACCTTCGGTGTCGGAAGGATTTCGCAATCGAGTTTCCAAAAACATACAAAAGCAGAGGGTTTCGCAACACTGATTTGCTAAAAAAGCTTGCGCGCGAGCTCTTGCGAAATCTTCAGAAAACCATAGGTTTTTCAATATTTACACAACATGCTACCAAACGGGCTTCGCGCGCGCGCCTGTCGAAATCTGTCGAACGCCCTTGCGCGTGTGCCGTCGCGAGAAGCGTCTGCAAGAAATGGGACGAAGTGCAGACGCGCGCGTCGTCGCGCGCGTATGCTGAAATCCTTCAAGACCCATCGGCTTCGGAAGGATTTCAACATCGTGTGTCCAAAAAACCTACAAACACACAAGGTTTCGCAACACGGATTTTCAACAAATGCGTGCGCGCGCGCTCTTGCGTCGTCGTCGTCGTCGTCGTCGTCGTCGCCGTCCTCCCTCCTCCCGCGTCATCGTCGTCGTCGTCGCCTACGTCGTCCTCTGTCTTTCCTCGTGTTCGTCGTCGTCGTCCTCTTTGGCGACGTGGTCGTTTCCGTCGTCGTCGTCGCCGTGGTCGTCCTTCTTCCTCCTCCCTCGACGTCGTCGTCGTCCGTCGTCGGCGACTCGTCGTCGTCCCTCCCATTTCGTCACCGTCGTCGTCGTCGTCGTCCCTCCTATTTCGTCTCCGTCGTCGTCGTCGTCGTCGTCGCCGTCGTCGTCGTTGTTGTCGTCGTCGTCTTCCCTCCTCCCTCGTCGATGTCGTCGTCGGCGTAGCCGTCCTTCCTCCTTCTTCGTCGTTCGCGTCGTCGCCGTCCTCCCTCCTCCCTCGTCGTTGTCGTCGTTGTCGTCGTTGTCGCCGTCGTCGTCCTCCCTCCTCCCTCGTTGCCGTCTTCGTTGGCGACGTCGTCGTCGTCTTCGTCGTCGTCGGCGTCGGTGTCGTCGTCGTCTTCGTCGTCGTCGACGTCGGCGTCGTCGTCGTCGTTCCGTCGTCGTCGTCGTCGTCGTCGTCGGCGTCGGCGTCGTTGACGTCGTCGTCGTCGTCGTCGTCGGTGTCGTCGTTGTCGTCGTCGTCGGCGTCGTCATCGTCGTCGTCGTTGTCATCGTCGTCGTCGTCGTCGGCGTCGGCGTCGTCGTCGTCGTCGTGTCGTCGTCGTCGTCGTCGTCGTTGTCGGCGTCGTCGAAGTCGTTGGAGACGTCGTCGGTGTCGTCGTAGTCGTTGTCGGCGTCGTCGTCGTCGTCGTTGTCGCTGTCGTCGTCGGCGTCGCTGTCGTTGCCAAGTGCCATTTGGTTCCCACCGTCACGGTCTTAAGAGATTTTGCAAACCAAGTTGCGGGTGGGTGGGTGGGATCTTTGCGCGAGCAGTGGAGTGGACAGCTTCCAGACTGTCAAAGTGGATCGCACCACATATATTATCCATTTTTAAAAAGAGAATAGACTCTACCCCCCCCCGGCGTTATCGGCCCCCCTTTCGGGTATGTAAATCATGTATGATTTTGACCACATGTCCATCCGAAATATGAATTTACACTATCCCAGGGGGGCCGGTATCGACCCCCCCTGAGGTTCCCTTGTAAAAAACGATACGCGGGGGCATCTGTTGTTCTAACATAGCATTTTTTCGCGAGTCCCTTGCAAAAAATGGGACGAAGTGTCGCGCGCGCATGTCGAAATCCTCCAAAAACCTTCGGTGTCGGAAGGATTTCGCAATCGAGTTTCCAAAAAACATACAAAAACACAGGGTTTCGCAACACTGATGTGCTAAAAAAGCTTACGCGCGAGCTCTTGCGAAATCTTCAGAAAACCATAGGTTTTTCAATATTTACACAACATGCTACCAAACGGGCTTCGCGCGCGCGCCTGTCGAAATCTGTCGAACGCCCTTGCGCATGTGCCGTCGCGAGAATCCTCTGCAAGAAATGGGACGAAGTGCAGACGCGCGCGTCGTCGCGCGCGTATGCTGAAATCCTTCAAAACCCACCGGCTTCGGAAGGATTTCAACATCGTGTGTCCAAAAAACCTACAAACACACAAGGTTTCACAACACAGATTTTCAACAAAAGCGTGCGCGCGCGCTCTTGCGTGGT